AAGTTGTGAATTAGACAATCCATGTCCATAAATGAATATTAGTTTGCCATGACCAGTATAAAAATCACATTTTAAAGAAAATTCTTGTCGGCTGTGGTTTATAATGTCGATTATTCGTTTTTGAATTATAACAATATAAGAAAATCGTGTATACTCCTACAACTGAATATTTACTATTTATACCACCACAGATATAGACGTCGTAGAGACAACATGTACCTAACATTAAAAAAATAATATAATGTTGTAAAAGTAAAATTACTTGCCTTAAATTGATCATGATGATCAGAACTATATATAATAATGTGAGCTATATTAGTGATTAGTGAGCAACGATTGAACAGCAATCAACCAAATATTTGTTTATTTTTAGATAACTTTSATAACTAAGACGGAACACACATACACACATGCAAGCCCGGATTAAGATTTTTTAGGCAACAGGGCAAACATTTTTAGAGCCTCTAATACATATCAAATTAAAATAATTATTTATAATAATTGAATCTTTATTATCACAATTTCGCATTTAATATAATTCATGTTGGTATTCGGTATTTGTATAAAAATTGTAAATTCTAACTTTTGCTGAAGTAAATGTTTGTTACATATCGTCTAAATTAAAAAGAACTAAGTTTTTTTATTTTAAAAATCTAATATTTATCTTAAGATAAAATTTAGATTCTAAGCGGATCAGAAATAATGAGAGGCAATAACAAAAAAAAAAAAAAGGATAAGGAAAAACTGGAATTCCTTGAAATTTGACAAAATCAATTTTGGTTTTAAGCGTAAAAAACACTTTTTTAGAGTTTAAACTCTGAAAAAAATTACYATCGGTACATGAAAATTTCAGTGACTGTTTAACTCTCTATGATACACCATGAGATTTTCAAAATATTAGTTATTAGTAACAGATAATAATAAACCAGTGAATGTTTCTTTTTATTTTACTTAAACACATTTATTTTTTATTTGTACAGTAGATACTTACTATATGTATTATMTAAAATATAAATAGGTYGCTAGAAACGGCAACTAAGCTTCCAGGTTTGACAGGCAACACTATAGTCTATAATGGTACCTATATATGTAATCACAATCGTACATTTTTATTTTTGTTTTGAAAAAAATTTAACTAATTAAAAAATACACAGGATCAGGGTTAAATAACACAAAAATATAAGGAATAACATAGTATTTATAATTTTGAAACGTTTTAGACTATAATATAATGTAATAAGTTATAAACGAAATTTTGAATGCAGATCAATATATTCTTTTTTAGGTCCTATAGTATCGCTTAGCCATTTGGTAACAATGCGTTGGTGAGATCCTAGTATGTTGTACCGTTCTGGATTGGTCTCCCGAAACTCTGTCTAACAAAAGTTATCAGTGAAAACAGAAAATGTACACAAACTTAAATAATGTGAAAACTAAATGTATACGAAAATYCTTATCTCACCCTGATCATTGTTCTTTCTTGGCTCAGTGTGTTAGCCAAATCATTGATACGCTCGTCCACTTCTTCTACATCTTTATGAATTGTTTCATCCGTGGTCTACGCGTATCATTTTGAAATAATCACAAAATATTATAAATCATATTTTAGATACAATTTAAACTTGATGAAAACAGACAAAAATATATTAGATTTAGAATGCCCTAACCTGTTTTAGCCACTGAGTCAATGCCGTCGCTCTTTTGTTAAAGCTTTTATAAACTTCGAGAGCATGACCAAACCTTTCGGAAACTTGCAAATCAGTAAACAAGTATTCGATTACCTGAATATTAAATAGTAGTTAAGACAAAATTAGTAATTGCAATATTATTAAGCCACGTTTAGACGTTTATTCTGTATAGGTATAGGTACTTGTAGAATAGCAAATACTTCTCTTGAAGTACAATACGGGAATTGAACACCGGGCAACATGGTCTGTGCCATCCGAACGCATAGAGCAGCTTGGTGCATCGAATCTCTAGTTTTCAATGCTTGACGAAATCGTGTGGATTCGTCTCTGTGGTATAACGATGCAAATTCGATTAAAACAAACAGTGATGTGTTTAAAAAAATAACGAATTAACGAATGGTATTTACTCTTCGGTCCGCAGTGAATGCCAACTATTATATGCTGTACGGCTATAATCCGCAGAGTCTTGGGCGAATAACGTGGCGTCTTTCCACGACAATTCACCACTAACTAACGTGTCTCGGTAACTGCGAACCCTGTCCAATTCTCGTTCCAATTGTACAGTATTCGATGATTTACTCCCAGCTAAATTTCCTGTGTAAATAAATGTATAAAACTCATTACCTACTACTTAACATTTATAAACAATCAAGATTGGACTTAATCGATAATTATGATTTCATAACGCTAGAGTTTATAAGATTCCGTTGGGATATTTCTCCGAAAATCACATTTTAATTTCACGTATAACTCGCTAAAAATTGAATTTGCATAATTATCAATTTAATTTTATAGTCACTATAGATCTTGAGCTCACGACTCTGGTAAAATCTGAACTATGTTAATTATGTTGCAATCGAGAATTTCTAAAAATATAATGTGTGCATATAAACCCAAAACTTGATTTTCTATAATTTATCATTAATAATTGATGTAAATATAAATTTAAATTGTAAAAACTAYTTACTCCTAGCTATGTAGTGGAGACTTACTAGTTACTACCAAATATAATTCATAATGTGAAACATACCTATAACATATACTATATGTCAAACCCTATGTTACGGCCCAACATATGAAAATTTAAGATAGGGCCGCTTCGTATTGACCAATTTCCTCTTCACGCGTGGTACGCCATTTTTTGACGATATTTAGATATTGGGCCTCTTGAAATA